AATATTCACGTCTACCAAACGGTCGAGATGGAACTTTGTGGCATATATAGTGACTCAAAATGTGCCAAATGGTTGAGCAGAACATTAAAGGGTTAATAACCATTTATCTACCATTTATCTTTGTGCTGAGATGCTTTGAGGAAACCCAGCCCAGATCCGTGTGGCTCAAATAAATAAAAGATCGCTCAGAATAGAACTTCACTGTGAGCCGCGCCGCCCTCTGACAAAATAAACAGCAAAAATCACAAACCCTGGAGTTTATAAACGGCGATAAACAAGAAAAAATCCCGGTCATTTGAGCATGGGAATGTCCACTGTATAAGCCCCGTCCCCTTTCCACTCACTTCACTTTCCTAGGGTGCCCCGATTAGATCATAGACCTCTGAAGTTGTTGGCCGTCATGCCCATATAAGGAAATCTGGGGCTAAGCTGGTTTTCTCTATGGGAAAAATGAACACCGTTTTTGAAGATCCACTATCGCGGCCAGTGGTGAACAGAAATGTTCTGCCCTGTGAACGTTTTCACTGGTGTCACTGGATCCTCTGAACTATGCGGTCGTTAAGGTCTCTGAATATGAATAATGCTACATGCTAAAAGCTAACACTCCTGCGCACTGAGTTGACATCGCCTTTTCACTGACTTAAACTTTAGCCTTTTGCTCTGAGGCCCTTTACTGAAATTATATCTATTTGTAAGTAGTAACTCGAAAGTGCATTATGAAAATATGGAGTAATTGCTCGGCTTAAGCTTTTTGCTTGGCAGTTGCGAGGGTGTTGCTGAACAGTAGCGAGGGTGTTGCTGAACAGTAGCAGTTGCGAGGGTGTTGCTGAACAGTAGCGAGGGTGTTGCTGAACAGTAGCGAGGGTGTTGCTGAACAGTAGCAGTTGCGAGGGTGTTGCTGAACAGTAGCGGTGGCTAGGGTGTTACTGAACAGTAGCGGTTTCTAGGGTGTTGCTGAACAGTAGCGGTTGCTAGGGTGTTGCTGAACAGTAGCAGTGGCTAGGGTGTTGCTGAACAGTAGCGGTTGTGAGGGTGTTGCTGAACAGTAGCAGTTGCGAAGGTGTTGCTGAACAGTAGCGGTGGCGAGGGTGTTGCTGAACTGTAGCGGTTGCTAGGGTGTTGCTGAACAGTAGCGGTGTCTAGGGTGTTGCTGAACAGTAGCGGTTGCTTGGGTGTTGCTGAACAGTAGCGGTGGCGAGGGTGTTGCTGAACAGTAGCAGTGGCTAGGGTGTTGCTGAACAGTAGCGGTTGCTAGGGTGTTGCTGAACAGTAGCGGTGGCTAGGGTGTTGCTGAACAGTAGCAGTTGCGAGGGTGTTGCTGAACAGTAGCGGTGGCAAGGGTGTTGCTGAACAGTAGCAGTTGCGAGGGTGTTGCTGAACAGTAGCGGTGGCAAGGGTGTTGCTGAACAGTAGCAGTTGCGAGGGTGTTGCTGAACAGTAGCAGTTGCGAGGGTGTTGCTGAACAGTAGCAGTTGCGAGGGTGTTGCTGAACATTAGCAGTTGCTAGGTTGTTGCTGAACAGTTAGCGGTTGCTAAGGTGTCACTGAACGGTTACTATGGTAGTTGCTTGCTGTGGTATCCCAGGTGGTTGCTAGATTTTTGCTAAGTGGTTTCTACAATATCCCAAGTAGTTGCTAGGGTGTTGCTTGGTGGTCGCTATGCTTCAACACATGGTTAATAGGGTGTTAAAGGTAATAAAGGGTAATAGGGCGATAAAGGACTTGTATCAACATGACATCAGTTGAGTGCACAAGCCATTGCATCCCATTCATTCCTATGGAAAGAAATCACCTTTTAACAATGATTGTACACGCACTGTGCACTGAATTGACATCCCACGAAAGTAAGTCGACTATTAAAACTTCTTACACTGTTATATGGATGATTCTACTGAACTGGCTCAAAGTCAGAGTTGAAAACACATTTCTGCCTTTAACTGATCTTGGACTTTAGGCTAAAATCCTGTTGCTCTGAGTGACCCTGTACCTTAATTATGTTTATTTTATTAAAAGAAATGACTGAATGACAACAATGTTTTGATTGAACAGGACAGTGAGACCTGATGGCCTGTCTGATGTACTGAGAGAGTTAACTTTCCACATGTTTTTATTTACCTGTTTTTTGTTTTTGCTTTTTTTCCTTTCTTTTCTCTTTGCTCAAAAACATTTTTCTCACTCCCACACTCATGGGGTGGGCTGTGGGTGGCTGTGGGAGGGGGGTTGGGAGCTTCTGAGCTGTGGTTTGCAGGTGGGTGCGTGGACTGGAGGAATGGGGAGAGTTCTTGTTGTTTAAAGCGATAAACAAAAATAAAATAAATAATTCCATTCTGTCACAACTGAGCCAAACTTCGAAGCTTTACCAAAAGTTTCAGTAGTGACCGTTTTGGTAGTGACAGTTTTAGCTCTTTTTGAGCAGAACTCAGAAATCATCATATTTTTCATTAAAGCACAAAGTAGTTTAGCTAATTGCAGACAATCTGACATTTCTCCAAATGTTTCACACTGATTTTCAGACTTTGGGACACATTTAACTTCAAAACAATGGGATCTGACTGCTCACCATGTGGCCACGAGGGACAGGGATGCAGCCTCACTTCCTGCTGTAAAATACAGGGGCGTGGCTAAAATAAGGTCCCGCCTCCAGATTAAAACTCTGTGTTTCAGTAGTGGGACATGTTTTTTTCTAATTTAAAAATTAAACTCATGATAAATCTAAATATTTCAAGCTCACTTTGAAAGAAATCAAAAATATCTTTTTAAAAACAGTTTTGAAAGAAAAAAAAAGTATTATTTTCAAAATTGTAAATTTAGGGGTTAGGGTTTGGGACAGAAACCTCCCAATTAAACGTACCCTAAATGATGATTTTGTATATATTTAGCTTATTACTATCTCTATTAATCGTTTGGGTTTAAACAGATCAGAAGATAATCCTTATAAATATCTACAGTCTGAATACTTCATTATTTTTTACATATCTTTTACTGTGGGAGCGCAGTTTGAACTAATTCAGGAGAATTACCAGCCATGCAAACTGTGGCCTAAAACTACCAAAGTAGCTTTACCACACTTAACAAAGGATGCTGGTATTTTGGAGAGGTTGCCAGTCTTATGGTGTCAGTTTAGTGCACAGCAGTGTTCGCTTATTAGTGTACTGTGTATCGTATTAATGAAAGTATTGTGACTATTCATGATAATTCATGAAGAAAAACTGCTCCGACTGATTTCCTAATATGGGCATGACGCAGACTGCTGAAAGACAGTGGCTTCCACAAAAGATGACACAGGAAATGCCTGGAAGAGGCTTTATTACAGCAAGTAATAACATGTAGTGCACCTACACATAGTAGTCTAGTATGTGTTAAGAGCATTTACAAGTTAATACTTGCGTGTTTACTTCTGCGCTCACTTTGGAGCTTTAGCATTGCATTTTAGGCTAAAAGGATCCAAACAGAGAAAAACAGAGTCTAACAAACTTCAGTTCCTATACTGACAGATGGTAAATGTACTCAGAAGCTCCAGTGCAGTTCTGTAAGTCCTTCAGTACTGATGGAGATTTATCATTCGTACTTTTACTTCTGCTTGAGCCTTTATTACACTGAAGCGAGAACACTTTTACTGGATTGTGGTTTAATCTCTTCCATCCACCTCTATTTTTAGGCCAGACAACAAAAGGGACAAACAGAGCCTGCAGTGTGGTTAGGGGGAGTTCCACCAACTCTTCAAAATTTCTGCACAATGCAGTGGTTGAGATGTCAGTTGTTTAGAGCGGTTTGATGTGAAAGGATTAATTGTAGAGAGACTTACTCAGATGTCTTGGCAGTGGTGGTGGTGATAGGAACCAGGGGTCCTGATGTCCACAACACAAACATAGCCGTTTTAATTACTATCCAAAACCACCAGTGAACCCACACGAGCCTTCTGAGCTTTTATAATGTTGATAATGACAAATTAGTGTTAAAACTGAGAAAGTAATATGTTATATGAAACATACTAAAGGCCAAATCTTCTCAAAGTTATCATAAAACAGTGTCTGAACACTGCAGACTTCTGGCTACTATCACCACCACTGTGACCGTTTCTGATTATAGTCTATAGAATGGAGCATTTCACACCAAACCACTCTGAATAACAGATAATAACAAAAAAAATTTGGTAAGTCGACGGAGTTGCCCTTTAACTCGAATTCCTATCTATAAACGGGTTGCCATAGAGACAAGGGGAGGAAAAACCGGACTCCTGCATTTAAAGGAGCTGAAGAAAGACAATCTCGGCTCCCCACAGAGCAGCACACGACCGAACACAGCCTGAAAGAGTCGGGTTATTAAAGGAGGATTATTTAGTTCAGCCATGTACGTGAAATTTTGTAATTTCGGAAACTACGCCGACGAGAAAGCGCTGGCTGCGTCCAAACAGCAGGCGAGCTCGGCGAGCACGTCGAGCACCGGTGAGAAGGACTGAAAAACCGCAAAAATATATATAAATTAAACCCGCCACGAATTATTAAATCTATATAACACGATATACACACGTTAGCTTTATTTATTTACGCAGCAGCAAAGCTTAAGTTAGCTTATGTTTTTCGACCTCGACGTTCCACCTTAAATGGTGCAGCGGTTCTTTTAAGGTGGAACGTCGAGTTCGAAAAATAGAGGCCCGCGAATTAGGAAACACTCTTGTATCCGCGGATATGTTAGCTAAATGCTAAACTATTTATCTGTTTTTTTTGTGCTCATTTATTTTGTTTAGTTGTTTACAAGAAGACTTTCCGCCCTTTTTTCCCCGTCACCTGCTTTATTTATTTCTGCCGCGGTCAAGCTGCCGAACTGGCCGTTCCACCTTAAATGGTGTAGCAGTTACATTAACCGCGGCACCTTTTAAGGTGGAAAAATAAGAGGCCGGCGAATTAACGTTAGGAAACCAACCTCTTATCAGCTCATACGTTAACCAAATGCTAGCCAACCTGTTTATCTCCTGTTTTTGTGTTTTATTATTTTGTTTAGATGTTCACAAGAAGGTCACTTTGTACCGGAGACTCTGCGTCATTCTCCTCATCATCTGCGTGGTGCTGCTGGCTGTGCTTCTGGCGCTGGCTGTGAAATGTGAGTACAGTTTTATTACATTAATGATTGAGGCAAGACATAAACAAACAGCACAACATACACGAAAGCAAATGGAAAATAAAGACAAAGTGCTTATAAGTGAAAACAATAAAAGATAAAAAATAATAGTTGAAAGGAAGTACAAAGTGTATAAAGTAGAATAAAAATTAAAAGGCAATCAAAACAAAGGACTTGGGTGTTATTCAACTCAGCTTATTAACATCATATCGCAGGAACACGAGAAGAGAAATGGGAACCAGACGCCCCCCTCTAAAAGCTCCCTCGCAGAAAGTTTTTACATGGAATGGTTATGAATTCACTGCCTGATGTCTGAGACGTTGTTTTATGACAGTTTTACAGAAGACTTTTGGCCTAAAATGTATTTTAATCCAAATTTGTTTGTAACCTGGATTTAAAAATCACTGTGTTTGGGTTTATCTGAGATTTTCTGGTAGTTTGTTCCAGTTGTAGCAGCATAACAGTTAAACGCTGGGCTCAATGAGCTGACCTGAGTCCATGGATCCAAAACAATGTTCAGCCTACTAAACTGAGTTTAGCAGCAACTGCATATTCTCTGCCGTGGAATCTTCTCTCATCCCCGACACAGAGACGAGAAACCGATCGTATGTCTGTGTGAAATCATGTTGAAAGTGCTGATGCAAATCTAAAGAGTTTTCAAAATTTCTGTACAATAGTGGTCGAGATGTAAACGGAGTCATTCAGAGTGGTTTGGTGTGAAATGGTTGATTGTAGAGACTCAGATGTCTTTACAGTGGTGGTGATAGGAACCAGGGGTCGCCATGACTACAACACAAATATAGACATTTTATTTACTATCCAGAACCACCAGTGAACCTACATGTGTTTTTATGTGTAGCAATGATGATAAACAGTGGTAAATATATAAAATAAGCTTCCTCTGGTGACTATTTAGCGCTATTTTGATAGTTTGATGCCCTACATGCTGTATTAAATGTATTAAACATGTATTAAAAAATACATTTTAGGCCAGAAGTCTTTTGTAAAACTGTCATAAAACAGAGTCTCAGTCATCAGGCAGTGAATTCATAATCATTTCATGTAGTAACTTTCTGTGAGGGAGCTTTTAGAGGTGGACGTCTGGTTCCTATCACCACCACTGTGAACAGTTCTGACTCTGTAAGTTTCTCTAGAACAGAGCGTTTCACACCAAACCACTATGGAACTACTTTGTTCACATCTTGGCCATTTAATTATACATACATTTTGAAAAACTGGTGGAGTTTTAGTTTTTATACACATTTAAACATAAATAGATGGAAGAAGCAAGTTCAAAAAATCAGCTTTTTGTTATCCTATTTATCCTGATTATATATATATATATATATATATATATATATATATATATATATATATATAAAAATATAAATAGTCATTTTGATTCTATTCTTTATTTAGCTTTATTATTTTAAAGGCCTAGTAAACTGTAAAGTTTTGAAGTATAGGAAAGGTTCTTCATAATCATTTCAATTGTATTTGAAATGATTTTCTCTTTTGCTGTCCAGTGTCCGAAGCACAGTCCAGTCAGCGGCCGACAGTTGAGAGCTCCGTAGCACCAGCGGATTGCAGCCTCCAGGCATGTGAGGCGTTGTTTCCGCACCGCAGCGATAACACAGAAGAACCCCGGCACGGTCAGTCTGCAGATCTTTATATAAAACAAACTGCACCTAAATCGTCACATGGTTTCTGACACTGAATGACACACTGTTACCTGTAAACTTAGACACAAGTGCTGTGGACTGAGAAAATGCTCTGAATATCAGTGGTGAGCCGTGACTATTAGACCATTAGGGCTTTGAACACTTTCCGACGAACTAAATTGGCTTCTTATTTGAATTTTCCGATCCACCTTAAACGGTGCAGCAGTTACATTCTCCTGAAGGTGGAATGGGAAAATTCACTGGCACTCGATTAAACACAGACATTTAAATCTTCTGAAAGACTTTCCATGTTTTACCTAAAGCCAATAACAGACACATCAGCATGTGATTGACCTTGTAGCAGTTTCACAATGACTCTTTCAGTAGTGAGATCTGATCTAGAGCCCGCCAACACTGTTTTCCATTTAAAACAGCCCACTGATTGGCTGTTGTTTGTATTCCGTCTGCAATGTATCTGGGACTTCCAGATGGCCAAGCCCAGGGTCGGCAGCATGTGGTGCTTTATCTGCCCTGTTGTGGCTCCACAGCTGAATTAGATTTGAAGGTAAAAATAAAAATAATCCTCCTTTACAGTAAAATAAAGCTCTGCTGATCGTTCAACACAGTTTAACAGTAAATGATCTTAAACGCTGGAGTTAATGTAGAACTGCTAATTCACCCTTTAACCCTGAAGGTTGGTGCCTAGCTAGTATTGTAAATGGTTCTGAATAGAAGCTCTTGTCAAACATGTACGAGTAAAGCCTGTTTTAAACGTTCTCTTACTTTACAAATAAAAGCACCAACTAAATCGTCCTAAGCCTCGATGCTGATTTCCGGTAGTGCTTTCTCAGATTATCCTGTTGCTTCTTCGCTGCCGTAATCAAATTCCAAATTAAGTAAACAATGCAGTGAGTTCTTTTTCCATCCAACAACATCCCACCTCCATGGTGGCCCCCCCTAGGTTTGTTTTAGGTCTGTGAGAAACACTGATCTTTAAATATCGCAGTAGAGTCTGGTGATGATATCGTACTGTGGGGTCTGTAGTGACTCCCACCCAGATACTAAGTTCAGTCTGAAATTTTATTTATTTATTAGGACAGTAAGGTAGTATGTGATAACCAGGGCCAGCGACCTGGAGGGGAAGAGTCGTGAGCCATCAGCCGGAAGGCTGCAAGTTCAAATCCCATGACTGACCAGGTATACTCGGTTGTGCCCTTGGGCAAGGTACTTAACCCCCCACTGCCCCAGGGGGCGCCAGCTCTGCTGATGACACTGTGCTGCTCCCAGATTGGGCATAGTTAGGCAGCAAAATGATGAATTTCACTTGTAGGACCAATAAAGTATATAATGTGATGATTTAGGCGCTTAAGTTAAAATGGTGTAATTTGCTGAATCATCACTTTAACAACCCCCCCATTGTTACTGCAGAGAATCATGCAAGACTGTGGTGCTCTGAGTGTGGAAAAAGCTGGCTGAAGTTTGACAACAGCTGCTACTTGCTGTCTCGGGCGCGCCTCACCTGGCAGGAGAGCAGGAAGGAGTGCCAGAATTTGGGAGGAGACCTGGTCGTCATTCGCAACGAACGTGTGCAGGTCAGTCAATCAGTCATTCAGCTCTACGTCCACTATTTAAAGGGTCTCCCATTCATGGAAAACCAAGATTTCCTCACTTTTTTGCTTTGTTTGGTAAAGTTTCACAACATACTGTTCACTCACCAGCTGTGAAAGAAAGTGTATGATATGGGCCCTTTAAATGCTCCACTGTTAGTCTGTTTGTGTCACTGTTTTGTCTGATTTCTGTAGAAATTTCTGACTAACAAGGGACTCATGCAGTACTGGATCGGTCTCCACCGTTCAGAAAATCAGGAGTGGACCTGGATTAACAATACCGCGCTAACCACAGGGTGAGAAACAGATTATAACGCAGCAATGACTTTCATAATTCGTTGTATATTAAATCCTGTTAATGTTCAATATTCTAAATATGCAGTAGAACAAAGATTTTAGATTTTTTTTTTTTATAAAAAGTGATCAGATACTTAACTGATTTGATAAGAAACTTGATTATATGACAAAACATTTTAATTTGTACAGCACTGTGCAAAAGTCAAAGAGCACCTTTCACTTATTTAATCACCAGTCAAAACGGCCATTAAGTACAAGTTATTAATTTTCATAAGATATTTCTGAGGAGCAAAACAGGAGTTTGAAAAAATGCTACAGAGAAAATGTGCCTCCTAACAACCACCTGGAAGAGCTGGTAGACACCAAAACTGCCCCCATCAGATAAACAGCACTTAAAGCTTTCATCTCTGAGAGAGAGGAGAAAATCAAGCTGCTTCAGATCTGAAAACATCCACAGGTGTTTCTGTCCATCCTTCCACTGTGAGAAGACGACTCAGCGCTGTGGGTCTGAAAGGATGTGTAGCTGTCAAGAAGAACCTCACTGAGAAAAGGAGACGGACACATCAAACAAAGAAGCTGAACGATGGACTGACCACCCCAGAGTCCAGACCTCAACACCACTGAATGTGTTTGATTACTTCAGAAAATGATCAACCAGCTTCTAAGACTGAACTTTGGAGGTGTGTCTGCAGATTTATTTGAGAAGCTCAAAGTGAGTGAAAAGAATGGAAGCTGGAATAAAGGTGGTGGACACAGTGAATACTGAAACACTTCATATTATATTTAGTTGTTGAGGTTTATGTGTAAGGGCCAATTCCATTTCACCCCTCGACCCTACCACTTAGCCCTACCCCTTCGCTTTGCGTGTTCACGTCTAGGGGTAGGGTGTCCCGATTTTTGTTGAGATAGAGGGGGAGGGTGAAGTGTTCGGGCTACATGACCCTCCAAACAGAGGTTTTTCAGAGAGTCCAAACAGAGAGTTATGAGAAAAAAAGAGACCAAAGAAACACAAAGATGTGAGAATTTTCTTAAAAAATTATTATCTTAGTTTAATATTGTTTGTGTATTATGGTCCTTTTCTTCGTAACAAGCACAAAAAATTGCTAGTACTATGCTGACGTCTTGGTAGCTAGCTGGCTAAATTTCCCGTTCCACCTTAAATGGTGCAGCAGTTACATACTGCTGAACCATTTAAGGAGGAATGGGGAAATTCGAACAAGAAGCTGGTGAGACTTCAGCTTCATATCACTGAAGAATTAGGGGTGGGCGACAATAAATAATTGCCCCCCTCTTTGAAGGCATATGACTCCCTAAATGTAACTAAAGCCCAGCAGTGAGGAGCTGAACTTTACCCTCCTCTGCTGTCACTGCAGACTGGCAGGGTCGCCTACAGAGCAGCGCTGGTAGCTGTTAATGAAGTGATGCTCTTTTTATTTGAGGGTCCCATTTTAGAGGGAAGATTTCAACCACTACAACTTGTTACTCAGTTCCAAGGGGCAAAGTGACACTCGAAAACAAGGGGTAGGGGTAAAAATAAGAAATGAGATTGGGATTAATTTTCTGTTAAAATATATTTTGCTTCTTTTCTTGATGCTGAAAAATGAGTAACTCGTAATTAATGGCCGTTTCGACTGGAAATAAAGTAACCGACAGAATCAAGCGTGGTTTGGTTGGTAAAACACTTACGAAGGACTGGATTATGATTCTCTAATCAAGATGTTTCTTTTTTGGCAGTTATTGGGCCAAAAGCCTTCAGGAGGGCAACTGTGTGTTCCTGAGCGGAGGGAAGATGCCCAAAGGCAACTGGCATAAAAGCCAATGCTCAGTCTACTCAAACTACATCTGCCAGAGAGGTTAAAACTGGAGACATGAACCATCATCTTCCTACAGCTGTTACATCTGCCTTTAATCCAATCAGTTAATCTCCTTTACCTTCCACACATGCAGTTCACACACTATAAGACAGAAATCAACACATGAAGCATAATCCGTTCCGCGATGAGCAATCAAGTAGACATTTCTACATCAGCATTATGAGATGTACAGTAGAATTTAGAAAAATGAGGTGAACTAAGTATATTCATTGAAAGTGGCTTTGTGCTTATTTTAATGATGTCTTTTAATTGCACTAATTTTACAGCATAAAATTGCACTAAATTGCACTAAAATTCTCCTACAGAATGTATTATAAATTTAAAAGAACGCCAGTGTAGCTGCCTTTTAATTAAGTGGTGAGACGTCTTTGTCTTTTTACCATGATTAAAAATCCCACTGTATTGTCTGTGATCTGTAATTTAGTCTCTATGTGACGTGATTTTCAAATATGACGTAGTTGTCATTGAATAAAATACATTTCTTTTACACTTCGGTCAGATTTCAAACGCATTTCATTTCATGAGTGTCCAAATGCTCCTCGTTGTCCACCTCTACGCCCAGAACGCTGTTGCGAAGGATCTGCCAGCACTGCACAGACTTCCTGTCGGGATGCGAGGCGTCTTTCTGTGCTCCTGTAGCGTCCGTCTGTTTGTCTGCGCTGTCGTTCTTCTCAGGTTCCTTCTTTTCTGCTTCCTCGTTTTTGGTGAAGACGTTAGCGTAGCGTCTGATCTTCTGCACAAACTGGTCACTGCGGTCCTCCACTCTGAAATACATTCAAGATTGAGTGATGTGGTCCGATTTGCTAGTAACACATGGTCCATGTGCCGCCCACATTGCTAAAATGACAAAATTCCCATTTAACCTGATGAGAAATTCTTGTCAAAATATATAAATTTAGAATTTGTTCAGTCCAAGGCCGTGCATTACTGTGATTTTAGTGGGTCAGGGGTGACATAATGCTGAGTTATTACTTTCATTACATAAAATACCAAAAAAAGAAAATTATCATTTATAGTTATAATTAATAATACCAACAATAAACAATTCTTCCACCAAGAAATGTAGTTCATTTACACTGTTCCAGGGGTCGCAACTCAAATGTTAAGAAGAGCCATTTTGTCCTTTCAACAAAAATCAAACCACCCTGGGAGCCACAATATTTTATGTCCATTTTACTATCTTGGCTGTAAATATGTCTCAGTATGTGCTGATATGCTAGTGTAATATAATATAAACAAAAACACAGACTTTGCTCTGCTTTAAGCTTTAGCTCAGCTATAGCCGCTTTTCACGCATCTCTGGCAGGAAACTTGTAATCAAAAGTAGAACATTTTCTTGTAAAACGTCTCTCAACGTTAGATTTTTTACGAGGCTGAAGTCACTTCTCATTCGCCAGCTTCTTGTTCTAATTTTCCCGTTCCACCTTAAATGGTGCCTCGGCAGAATGTAACTGCTGCACTACTTAAGGTGGAATGAGAAAATTTGAACAAAAAACAAGAAACTGACTTCAGCTTCGTGAGCTAGACGAGACTGTTGTCTGCGTTGCTATGGTGACCAGCAAGCAATCAAGCACTGCTTAAAAATTACAAGAACTTTCAGTCGCCCATCACTGTACACTGCAGTCATTTCTTCTTTCTACTTTTTAATTTTTTGTCACCTAATAATGAAAATAGCACTATACTGCACTGTTTACCACTGAAGCTTTTGTCTTATACATAGTTTTTGCAAACTAACGAGACACACACTTGTTTTTCCACACTGGGTTTAATAGATCTAAACAAAAACACTGGGTCTGAAGCATGTAAGCAATCCAGGTTACATAATCTTAAGAAAAAAAGCTCCTCATTTTAAACAAAAACGTCTTTACGTACTTTACAGCGGCTTTGAATGCAGCACAGCCAATCAGATTTTAGGACTGGAACCATCCTTTTTATAATACATACATACATCATCTAAACCGCTTATCCTTCTGGGTCGTGGTGGGGTGCTGGAGCCTATCCCAGCTGTCATTGGGTGGAAGGCAGGATACCTTTTTATAATATCCATTTTAATATGATTATTTTGTATGCATGTGAAAAGGCAAACTGTTAGGATAGGATAGGGATAAACATGGATTGATGGGCAGAAGGTTTTTTTTGTAAATTTGCTAGCTAGCAAAGTTAACAGGGTAGCCCAAACCAGCTACTGCAGCATGGCGAAAACTGATCTACTTACATTTTCCTCATCATATTTGCAAGAATTTAAAAGCTTGTGCACTTTTTCACTACAGTGCGTAGCACAACAGCATAAAAAATAAATTAAAAATTTAAAAAAGGGTCTGAGTTTACATATTTTGATAAAAGCTGAGTCGTGAGCTACAGTTTAGGTTGAATGGGATTTTTGCCAGCGTTCTGTAAAGCTTGTCTAACCTCAGAACAGAACTGATATGTGTGGCTGCAGCTTGGACAGGTCAAATGTGCTTGTGTTGGAGATGTGTTGGTTCCTTACCGGAGATACCAGCGTTCTCCCAGGCCATACAGCAAACCGCACACGCCCAGCCTCGGCCACAGACTCCGCGGCAGCCTCTGCTCCAGCATTAGAGTAGTGGCTACAACCTGCACACGACATATTGGAATCTTTTTCATGTGGGAACAATAAACAAACTGCTTTCATGTTACCAACAGTGTTCATTCAGACAGAGTCCAACGGCCGGATTCGCAAAAGCTTTCTTAAGAAAATTGATTTACAATTTATGTAAAAATACCAGATGTTTAAAATATCACAAGTGTCCAGTGTAGGGTTCTCCTTTAGCTGTAGCCAGTCAGCAGCCTGTCCATGTTGTCCACCCTCACACACACACACACACACACACACACACACTAACAGCAGGCCATGTGGGAGGAGAACAGAGTGAAGGACACAGCACCTCCACACTTTTACTCCCTGCAGGTTCACCCAACACCACATGTGTAATATAAATGTGTGGGGGGCTGAACAGAGTGAAGACACTGAAAATGGGTTATTTTATATGTTCTTCACAGAAAATGAGCAAAGGCCAAGAATCTGGGGTTGAAATAATAATAAATTGCATCACGTTTTCTTTTGGTAAACACTGAAAATGGGTCCCACAGACCTGAACGCCACACAAGGGTTATGGCAAACAAGAAGAAGTTCATAAGAATGTTCTTAAATGCAAGTTCTCAAATATTCTCTTAAGATAATCTTAATTATTTTCCTAAGATTTTCACTGTAGGCTGTGTTGCACTTTACCACGTACCATAAACGGCAGAAGAGACATCTTTAATTTGTATTAACTGTCTTTTCTATTATTTAATCCACTCAGAGGTGCAAAACACATCAAACCAAGCATTCAAAAGACTTAAGCAAACAAGAACTAGAGGTGATGGAGAAAGAAACAGCCAACAGGGAAAAAATCCTCCTTAGAAAATATGATAACTATGGGGAGACGGCCGAGGATGAGGAGCAGCAGAGGCAGCGTCCGAGTTTGATAAACTCAGATGCTTCTCTTGTCAACTCTTACAGCCAAAGACGAGTTTCAAGGCCATCTTAAGGTTAAGAAAACATTTAAGGACATAATGTTTTCAAGAAGACCTGCTTAGAATTATTCTTACATAAATTGTTAAGAAAATAAGACAATAAACTAATAAGATAAACTTTTTTTTAAGAATGAAGTCACACATTTAAGATTTTCTTTCTTAAGACATCTTTGCGAATCCGGCCCCAGATTTACACAATGGAGAGATATTTCACAGGGACGAAAAGAAAAACAGGAGCCGCTTCCGGGAAACTAAACAAGTGACGGTAACAAAAAACGTCAATAAAACGTGACGAGGCCCATCTTCCTTATGGGTTCACAGTGGATGTGGTGGGAGATGAGAAGAGACCAGTGTATATTCTGGCCCAATCCCATTTCACCCCTCGCCCCTACCACTTACCCCTTAGCCCTCTGTTTTGCACGTTCATATCTAGGGGTAGGGTGTCCTGATTCTTGTTGAGATGGAGGGGGAGGGTGAAGTGTTGGGGCTACATGACCCTCCAAACGGAGGTTTTTCAGAGACTCCAAACAGAGAGATATGAGGAAAAAAGAAAAAACGGCAAGATGGATGAACAAGAGACCAAAGAAACACACAAATGTGAGAATTTTCTCTGTTAAAAATTACAATAAACATCGTATTATCTTAGTTTAATGTCGTTTCAGTGTATTATGGTCCTTTTCTTCACAACAAGCATAAAAAAAAATCACTAATATTATGCTAATGTCTCGGTAGCTAGCTAGCTAACTTTCCCGTTCCACCTTAAATAGTCCAGCAGTTCTGACGCCTGAAGATACAAACAAATACAAACAAGAACCTGGTGAATAACTGACTGGTGATAATAAATAATTGCCCCCCCTCTTTGAAGATCATATGATTCCCTAAATGTAACTAAAGCCCAGCAGTGAGGAGCTGAACTTTACCCTCCTCTGCTGTCACTGCAGACTGGCAGGGTCGCCTACAGAGCAGCGCTGATAGCTGTTAATGAAGTGATGTTTTTATTTGAGGGTCCCATTTCATAGAGGAAGCTTTTTATCACTACCCCTTGTAACTCCTGTTCCAAGGGGTTAGGGTGACACTCAAAAACAAGGGGTAGGGGTAAAAAGAAGAAATGGGATTGGGCCTTTATGTCTGAAAACTGACAGTATGAAACTTTTTTATTTTTTATTTGAACAACAGAAGACTTACTGAAAGAAAGGTAAAATAATAATGTTCATGATCTTGATGCTAATTCAACAAAGTGAAACTTGGCCCATTTTGACAAATTGGGGCACGATAGAAAAAGTTTGAGAACCCCTGCAGTGTAGTTGGTAACATCTCTGCCCTCTACTCTGTAGACTGGGGTTCTAATCCCCACCTGGGTAAGAAGCCTACATTACACCAATAAGAGTCCTTGGGCAAAACTCCTAACACTACCTTCACCTACCTGTGTAAAATGATCAAACTGTAAGTTGCTCTGGATAGGAGCGTCTGCCAAATGCCACAAATGTAATCATTCTATCAATCATGTGATGTAAAATAAAGACATACTGCAGACTTCTGAACGGCAGCAAGTCTGCGATGCCCACCTGAGTCCTCCAGAGCTCATCGCGCTCCTGAGCCACTCTCCACTGCGTGTCGCTCATCATGGCGGTGAGGAGGCTGAGCAGCAGCAGGTGCGAGACCACGCTGAAGCAGCAGTGCACCACGTGGACGATGGGGTGGGTGTAGATGGTGTGGTCCACCGGAAGGTCGATCAGCCCGATCGTCAGCTCAAACTCGGAGAACAAAGTGATGGGGAAAGAGCGATACGCCGGGACAGAGAGCGGCTCCTGAGTCATGTACACCGTCCACAGAGCTGAGAGACAGACGGAGAGAGAGAAGCAGTGCAGTATTCATATCTATATTTCATTTTATCCAGATTTATTTTCTGGATTATTTTTGTATAAGGCTGTATGCCGACCAGCCACTTCATTGTCATTGTCCATTTTATTAGCTCCACTGACCATATAGTGTCACTTTTTAGTCCATCTGTTTCTCTGCATACTTTGTTACCCTGTTCTTCAATGATCAGGACCCCCACAGAGCAGATATTATTTGGGTGGTGGATCATTCTCAGCACTGCAGTAACACTGATGTGATGGTGGTGGTGTGTTAGTGTGTGTTGCGCTGGTCTGAGTGGATCAGACACAGCAGTGCTGCTGGAGTTTTTAAACACTGTGTCCACTCACTGTCCACTCTCGTAGACACTCCTACCTTGTCAGTCCACCTTGTAGATGTAAAGTCAGAGACGACAGCTCATCTGCTGCTGCACAGTTTGTGTTGGTCATCCTCTAGTCCTTCATCAGTGGTCACAGGACGCTGCCCACAGGACACTGTTGGCTGGATATTTTTGGTTGGTGGACTATTCTCAGTCCAGCAGTGACACTGAGGTGTTTAAAAACTCCAGCAGCACTGCTGTGTCTGATCCACTCAGACCAGCACAACACACACTAACACACCACCACCACGTCAGTGTTACTGCAGTGCTGAGAATGACCCACCACTCAAATAGTACCTGCTCTGTGGGGGTCCATGGGGGTCCTGACCACTGAAGAACAGGGTAAGAAAGTATGCAGAGAAACAGATGGACTACAGTCTGTAACTGTAGAACCACAAAGTGCTCCTATACAGTAAGTGGAGCTGATAAAATGGACAGTGAGGGTCGAAACAAGGAGGTGGTTTTAATGGTTTAATGGTTTAGCAGTGATGCTACACAGTGTATTACATGAACAGCTGGATCTAAGCACTGAGAGAAGGTGTAGCTTAGTGAACAGTAAAGTAAACGAAGGACTACAGGGTTTAACTCACCTGTGGAGAATCCCATAAGAGCAATGAGGCTCAACCACATAAACTTGGTTAAGTCTCCAAAAAGGATCTACAAAACAATAAAGTCTTGAGTCAGTTGTGTGACTTTTTATTGTGAAATTATTTTGTCTAATATAAACAGCTCACATGATCTGAAGAACTTCTGCAATTTCTGTTTTCATGTTATTTAAAGATCCAAAAAGGAAATCAAACAGAGCAAACATGTTTGAAGCCACTCCATTAATTCCTTCTTTTGTTTAGAGATATATAGATTAGAATACAGTGCAAACCAAGGGTTGTGTGTAATTCTCATTTGAAAGCTTTTAACAATAAAAATAAATATTATTAATGCTTTAAACTTAATAATATGACCCCATTTCCAAAAAAGTTGGGACGCTGTGCAAAATGTAAATAAAAACAAAATGCAATGATGTGCAAATCGTTTAAACCCTATATTTCATCGAAAATAGTACAAAGACAACAAATCAAATGTTGAAACTGAGAAATTGTGTTGTTTTTTTTTTTAAATATTTGCCCATTTTGGATTTGATGCCAACAACACGTTCCAAAAAACTTGGGACGGGGGCAACAAAAGGCTGGTAAAGTTGTGTAATGCTAAAAAAAACACCTGGGGGCTAATTGGCAACAGGTCAGTAACATGATTGGATATAAAAAAGTCTTTCAGAAGTAAAGATGAGGAGGGGTTCACCACTCTGTGAAACACTGCACCATCAAATAGTGCAACAATTCAAGAATAATGTTTCTCAAAATAGCAAAGAACTTCTGCTCTTCATCATCTACGGTACATAATAATATTATAAGATTCAGAGAATCTGGAGAAATCTCTGTATGTAAGGGACAAGAACAAAAAAACAGTATTTGCTGGCCGTGATCTTTGGGCCCTCAGACGGCACTGCATTAAAACCAGACATGATTCTGTAGTGGAAATCACTGCATGGGCTCAGAAACACTTAGGAAAACCACTGTCTGTGAAAACAGTTCATCACTGCATCCACAAATGCAACTGAAAACTCTAAAACACGAAGAAGAAACTGTACATAACCAGGATCCAGAAACGCTGCCACCTTCTCTGGGCCCGAGCTCATTTAAAATGGACTGAGGCGAAGTGGAAAAGTGTCCTGTGGTCTGACGAATCAACGTTTGAAATTTTTGTTTGGAAATCATGCTGCGTGCTCCGGGCTAAAGACCACTCAGCTTGCTATCAGTGCACAGTTCAAAAGCCAGTATTCATGATGGTATAGTGGGGCATTAGTGCACATGGCATGGGTGACGTGCACATCTGTGAAGCCATTAATGCTGAATGATATATACATGTTTTGGCAACATATGCTGCCATCCAGACGACGTCGTTTTCAGGGAAGGCCTTGATTATTTCAAGAAATGTTGTCTTTGTATTGTTTTCAATTAAATATAGGGTTTAAATGATTTGCACATCATTGCATTTTGTTCTTATTTACATTTTGCAAAGCGTCCCAATTTTTTTGGAAATGAAGTTGTAATAATAATAATAATAATAATAATAATAGTTAAAATAATTTAAGGGCCTATATGTCATAATATTTAAGTTTAAGTTTCGTAGCAGCTACTGAACAATTCATACCAATAAATTAAAAAAATTACATATTTACAAATTTCAAGATAATAATAATGAAACCACACAGCTAAAATAATCAAAGAGCCCTAAAAAAATACAATTCACTGAATAGTAAGCCAAGGATTTTTAACCGAATAATAAGTGTGGTTAGTTCGATTTGACATTTTTCAAGTTGATTGTGAGGAAAAAGTGTTCTGCGGTGGAACGAGCAGAGCCCGCAGAAGCCGTAGGATACAATGCTGTTTTAGTCAGAATGCGCTCCTTCGTCCTCCTTCGTCTTTTGAACAGTCCTGTGGAAGCCTATTCAAGTGTGTTCTTGGTCAAAATAATAGTTTGTGACACAAATGTCCACATTATTAGATCATGTTTTAACACATGAAATAAAACAACAGCCATAGCCACATTTTTGCGCCGGTGTTCTGATGAATCGTCCTATCTTGTCAAAATGTTCTACCACAGCACATATTTACAGGTAGCGCTCTACGTAAAACAGTAGGAAGGGTATTTTGACGGCCTAATGATAAGTAATGCCATGTAACTGAGTCTGTATAAGACACACGAAGTAACGCTAAAACACTATAAAAAGTACGAAAACTAACTCATGGAGTTACTATACTACAGTAGCCGCTCGATGGGTTGGACAAATTGTTAAACCACTGGCCTTAAATGGTTAAAATGGACAAAGATGAAGACTCTGAATGTAGTGCTGATGAGATGTTTGATCTGAAAGGGTTATGGGTTAATATATAGGAATAAGAATGTAAAAAAAGAGACAGAAAGCAGAAGACAGTGGTAAAAATAAAAGACTCTGGTTACCTTCTGGATGACGATGACGTATGGTCCGAGCATTTCGAAGCCTCGAGCGAAGTACAGGACGTTGCACCAGCCGAGCACCAAACACACAGCCATCAGCACCGTCTCGCCGGGCATCTCACTCGTCCTCAGGATGCACAGGAACACCACCAGCACAGCGTACGTGATTCTACATGAGCAGGAGCATCAGGGAGAACCAGAGATTTATTCAATGTAAAATATAAAGCAGGCGTCTCTACAGGCCCACGGGTAACTTCATACCCACCACATATTTACAATTTAACCCTTAAAATTCAGCCCACAAGTTTTTTTTTCCATTTTTCTGTGGCTAAATTATTTACATCTGACATGTAAATATACTTCAACCACAAAACACTGTGGCCGCCTATCCAACATATGCTCTAGGTTTGCTACAGAGCGCTGCATGCAAGAGGAAGAATTCAAATATAAACCTGACGCAGCAAGAGAACTGCAAACTGACTGTAATTTAGCTACAACTAACTTAGATATTATTGTAATTTAGACTGGTAGTTGAATCTGCCTTTGTAGATTCATTCATGCGAAAGAAATGAAAAAAAATGGTCAAACAAATCCAGATTATCTGCTCTCCTTTGCCAAAACTTCACTCACAATAACTTCACTTACATTCATCAGGAATGATAAAGCTATCACAACAAGAGTCCCACATAATTCTAAGTAAGTTAACAAATAATTAAAAGTAAGTTCACTTGATTTTGTAGAAAACCATGCATCTCCATTTTTGTTGATTTTTACTTTTCTACATCATTTTAACACACCAGCTGTCCTTTATGGTGTGTGAACATTTTATGATGGGTGGACCAATAATGCTCCAAAAATGCTCCAAAATTACTTGGAATAAAATCTCTGCATTGACTTACATTAAAAGGTAAGAGGGTTTTTGCCTTCTCCTATAAAGTTAAAACTATTTTGGAGATACTGGTTTTTCTTTAGACAGCGACGATTTATTAAACACTGCAACCACCACAACAACGGCTACCGCTACTCCTACTACTAATAATAATTAACATAATAATAATTACATACTAATTACACTTATTTGTATTATTATTATCTGTTATTATTAGTAGTAGTTCTGGTTTATGGTGACAAAAGAATTGATAATAAATACTGACTATCAGCTAATATGGGCTCCCGAGTGGCCCTATTATCAGGAAATCAAGAGTTTGACCCCTGGAGATGCTACAGCCTTTATAAAGATGCAGTGGTGCTTCACAGGTCTCGGAGGAAGCCTATGCTAGCTTTTCGCCCTGGTGGTATCGTGTGACTGGGGGAGTCCTAACTAGTGGGCAGAACTGGATACGACTAAACTGGGGAGAAAATTCAGAAGAAAATAAAAGACTAACATACGCTTAAATGAGTTTTCAACAGAGATAACACAGATCTTTAAAAAACTAAATACCTCAAATATCAGTTTGAAATATCGGTCAACTCTAAGCAACGGTCCAATACAGATTTCTTTTTTTAATGCAAATACCTGCCGATGCCAATTATTCTGATATCTTGAACAACGACCCATAACTGGTTGTGACGGTATCAGTGAGTGTAATGAACAGAACGTACAGAGTGATGTGAAACGGTCCTCCAAGTGCCGTCTGACCAAAATATCGCTTCGCTCCAACTCTCAGGATGTCTGGAATCTAAGAATAATCACACAAACACACATAAGCACGAGTGCGTCCTCTTCATTATTATTAAAGCTTTACTATTATTACTCAAAGGAAACACTAATATGTATGTAATATGTATAATCTGTATGATGTATAACTGTGTTTCTTCCTGACCTCCAACAGCAGAATGATGAGCGCTCCTATAACACTGATGATTTCTCCAACCAGTCGCAGGTGATCTCCATACGTCACATAACTCTCCTACACAGATACACATATAGACACAGCAGACAATGATTTCACAGCTTGATATGTGTATATATGGTATAATATAGTATATATCATTTAAGTATATCATTATAGTATATATAATTAAACTTCTTTTTGCAAGTGGTATTAATTATATAGTTATATATATTATTGTGTGTGTGTGTGTGTGTGTGTGTACATACATTTTTGACTTAATTTGAAAATGCCTGTGTTCTTTACATTGTGTGTGAATTTCATGATGAATGGACCAAAAGAAACGACCCAAAATGACTTGGAAAAACATCTGGTTCCATTGACTTACATTAAAAGTAAAGCATGTTTTTTCCTTCTCCTGTAAAGTTACCATTTTGGAGACACGAGGTTTTCTTCCGACAGCTGCGATATATACCATATTATCTATTCACAAACATTTTTTGCTCATTTATATGCACCGATATTTGATCATCATTGATCGTCATCAACATTAACTTCAACAGAACTTCAATGTGGATAGTAATTATTATTTAAATTTCATTCTAGTCATTAATCGCATTAGAACTTCATTCTAGATATTATCAGTAGAACGTTCATTCTGGATATTATTACAGTAACTTCATTCTGGATGTAAATGTTTTTAAAAATGAATTCCATATATCACTGTTATAACTTAATTCTGGATATTAATTGTATTAGAAATTAATTCTAGATATTATTATTGTAACTTAACCTCTGGATTTTTTAATTAGAATTAGTAATAACAGAAGCTCTCTTATTTATAATAGCTTTCTTCTTACTTATAATTTCAATGCTGTGAAGCTGAACAGGATGAGCATCCAAACTGATTCCAAACCTATAAGCAGTAATGTGTTAATTCATCTCCAGTGCATGCAAACACGCTCACCTTCAGAGTTTTCTGAATTTTGATGGTCTGATCCATGGCTGATTTGGTGTAGTTTTCAGGAATGTCCTTTAGGGGGCGGTGCATACAGCACAGAGTGAAGGTTCCAATGTACAGCAAGTAAACCAGCAGCAATAACCTGACACAGGAGAGCAGAACACCGTGGGTCAGCATGTTCTGAGGTACAACATGGCCTGTTAAACGCTCTGAGACACCTGGCTTTACAGGTGTTTTAACCCTCAGACGTCTAGAGTTACTTTCATTTAGCTCCACTTTCTTTAAACGTCACTGTGTAAACACTTATTTCATTACATGGTAAACTAAGATAGATAGATAGACAATCCTTTACTAGGCACTCAAGAAAAAGACATAACAAGAAGAGAATTAACAAACCAAGTAATTAACCTTGTTAACCTTAATTACTGAATTGTATACATGTTAATTACTTAATGAACCTTGTTAATTACTTAACAGGGCTACAGTTTGTTACTTATTGCTGTATAGACAATATATATAATACTAATGCTAAAAATATAAACTCCATCCTTCACATAAACTCTATTCACAAAAAATAACAACATAATCAATAAAAAAGCAAAAAACAAATTAAATATATAAAATATTAAATATTAAACATTTAATATATAATTTAATTTATGAATATATAATTAAAATATTTATTATTACATAATAAATTATATTTACGTTTGATTTACACTGTTTTGACAGTCTGCACTTCTGATTTTCTTCCATTTCAATATTAAAAAAAGAAGAAAAACAGGGCAAAAATGTTAATATTGTCACAACATTAGCTACTTACCAACCCAAATGTGGTATAGATTAAGAGCTTAATATGTGAACTTTCTACAGATTTTCTCCACCTATTTTAATAAGGTACAAGTGACAGTTCATATCAAATTATAATATTTTGCTACATTTTGTCATCTGGTGATAACTGCAACTCCTAAGGGTTCATAAATGAGCAGCCTTGCTTTGTCAGTTTGCACTAACTTGACATATTAAACACAAAACTGTTTAGGTTTCGCTATTTTTTCTTTGGAAAAACTGCGAACTTAAGAAACACCAGTGAAAGTCCAGCCTTTCGGATGTGTGAACCACCAAAACAGTTTCAATATGTGCTTTTAACCCTTGGTTCAGGTCCGTGGGACCCATTTTCAATGTTTACCAAAAGAAAAAAGATGCCATTTGTATTTACCATGCTCATTTTCTGTGAAGAACATATAAAATAACCCATTTTCAGTGCCTTCACTCTGTTCACCCCCCACACATTTATATTGCACATGTTGGCTGAACCTGCGGGGAGTAAAAGTGTGGAGGTGCTGTGTCCTTCACTCTGTTCTCCTCCTACATGGCCTGCTGTTAGTGTGTGTGTGTCTGTGTGTGTATGTGTTTGTATGTGTGTGTGTGTGTGTGTGTGTGTGTGTGTGTGTGAGGGTGAACAACATGGACAGGCTGCTGACTGGCTACAGCTGCTAAAGGAGAACCCTACGCTGGACACTTGTGATATTTTAAACATCTGGTAGTTTTACATAAACTGTGATGACTGTATTGATTTAAAAACAATAATGTGGTGGGTCCAGCAGACCACTGAGTAACACACACATCAACACCACACAAGGGTTAAGAACAGTTTGGACAAGAAAACTGTCGTGATTTTTGCCAAAACCTGCTTTTTATAACAAGGAACAGTGGTAAGTTACCTTGGAAAAGTAACAGAGGTATTCCCAGACTTTTCACAGGCATTTTATGAAAACAACACAGTTACAGAGCGGCACAGTGTCGCTAGCTGTGTTTACTAAACAAACTTTAGACATGATCAGCGTAATTAGACACACTGATGTTCCGTAAAAGATGTTTTTTTCCAGGAAATCTGATAAACTGCAGGAATGCTGAGTATGTGGAAAAGCAGTGTGTTGTATCATCTCAGGTGGTGTTTTGGAAGTAATTTATTAAGGACTTTAATATAAGTGAGTTTCTCTCAGTGTTGCCAAATAGTGATACGCTGGCTTTGCTTGATTCAAATGTCTGTATCATTTCCACATTAATAAAATATGCTGTGTTAACATGTGTTTTCAGTTGAATTACTAGATCAGTGTTTAAATGATGTACACATTTAAATCAAGTCATTTCATCGTGTTACTGATTTTCCGTGCGGTCACTCACCTGAAGTAATATTTCCCATAAAGATTCCACTTCATAGTGATGAGCTGCTGGACTGGAGTCACCTCGAGGATCCTTCTGGCCTGGAAAAAAAAGAAATACGACACAAACATAAAAAACAAAACAGACAGAAATAGTGTAAAACAGCGATGCGCTGAAATTTCACCCACTGAAAGAATTTAGTCAGAAAAAGATCTAAAATGGCACTATTGGTTTCTGACCATATGAGAAAGAAACTGGCTGAAAAAACTGATTTTTTTTTAATTAAAGAACTTTTTGATTCAATCAAATCAAATCATGGTGAAATTTGAAATTTAGTGATGCACAGTCATTTTAAGGAATCATAAATAAACTGAATCAATCATTTATAACCCTACCAGTTTGGACTGGTTCACTTATTAAATCATTCACTGTTCACTAATTCATTAGTGATAAATGGTGAGTTGACAGGAGAAGGACAGAAATATTTACCACTTCGAATTTAGGCTGAAAGAGTAATCATTTTCATCAAAATTGCGATTCAAAAAGTGACATTTTAAAATCGCAGGAGCTGCAAATTTTACTAGTCTATATTATCACCCATTCAGATGAGTTAGACTAACTAACTGGCAATATGTTCAGTAATGAAGCTGATAGGCTGGTGTTTTTGCCAAAACCAGCTTAATTTATAAAAGATAAATGCAATTTATATTGCAGCCACAATATTGATGAGAAAAATAGCAATTAGATACTTTCCCAAATCATTTGGTGCTACTGAAAACGGTGAAATGTAATATATTTCATAAATGTGTGAATATGCACATTTGAATCGAGTAAAATCAATGCAACGTTTTTTTTCACACACACCTCTCGTCTCTGACTGCAGACGATGAGCTCCAGCACTGAGATGTCGTCTGTTCTAGAGTCGATTTCGGTGAGATCGTACAGGTAAGAGGTCAGTGACCCCAGGCTCCACTGGACAATCCGCCTACGGTTCACCATGTGCTGGAAAGCCTGGAGAACAAAAATCAGCAGTTACCTCATACAATAAGTGGAAATTCTTAATACTTAATACACTGCAGTCCTACAACTCACAGTTATTCTCAGTGATAACAAAAGCATGTTGTACTTGTTGTCTGTGGAAAGTACAGATTTTAAAATGCAGACAGGATAAAAAAAAAGCCTGCTGACATTGGTAAGTCAGTGGACAGCAAGGTTAAAATTCAATAAGCATTTTCCACTGAACAATGCGGTTCAGACGTTAAGTATCCTGCCACAAGGTGGAAAAAGCAGCTCAACAGCACTTAAGCGTTAAGGCCCAATCCCATTTCACCCCTCGCCCCTACCACTTAGCCCTTCCCCTCTGTTTTGCTCATTCGCGTCTAGGGGTAGGGTGTCACGCTTTTTTGTTGAGATAGAGGGGTAGGGTGAAGTGTTGGGGCTACACGGCCCTCCAAACGGAGGTTTTTGAGATACACTCCAAAGAGAGTGATATCAGAAAAAAAGAAAAACCGGCAGGATGGCTGAACAAGCGACCAAAGAAACCCACAAATGTGAGAATTTTCTGTATTATCTTAAACGTTTAATCTCGTTTCAGTGTATTATGGTCCTTTTCTTCATAACAAGCATAAAAAGCTGCTAGTATCATGCTGATGTCTTGGTAGCTAGCTGGCTAAATTTCTTGTTCCACCTTAAACGGTACAGCAGTAACATCCTGGTGCCTCAGGCATCACAACAGCATCAGAACTGTTGCAACATTTAAGGTGGAACGGGAAAATTTGAACAAGAAGCTAGTGAATATCCGACTTCAGCTTCATATCACTGAAGAATTAGGGGTGGGTGATAATAAATAATTGCCCCCCTCTTTGAAGATCATATGATTCCCTAAATGTAACTAAAGCCCAGCAGTGAGGAGCTGAACTTTACCCTCCTCTGCTGTCGCTGCAGACTGGCAGGGTCGCCTACAGAGCAGCGCTGGTAGCTGTTAATGAAGTGATGCTCTTTTTATTTGAGGGTCCCATTTCATAGGGAAGATTTCCACCACTACCCTGTAACTCAGTTCCAAGGGGAAAACAGGAGTAGGGGTAAAAATAAGAAATGGGATTGGGCCTTAGAATGATCTCCAGATTTCAGAATCCAGTTTTTGAGGAACTTTAAGCCATGACAGCAGGAGGGTGACCACAGCAGGCTACAACATAAGATTAAGCAAATTAACTTTGTTTTTATTTTTGTGTTGAATTAAAATTTTTATTTACACGGGACAAGAACATTCCTTCTATATTCCAATGAATACAGACTGGACTATGATAGATATTCTGATAATGTTGATGGATAGTGACACCCTGAGGTTTTGTCAAAAAACAGAACATGAAAATAACATAAATATATGCAGAAAACTAATTAAAAATTAAGGTAAATAACAGAAACTGGTAACAGAAATTAGCCCCACCCCCAGTGATAAAATATTTACATAATTTAAATGTGAGTTTCTGCTGTTTATCTGAGTTTAGGAAGCGTGAGCTGCCAGTTGTATCAGTCAGTCAGTTCAGCACTGTTTAGCTAAAACTGTGTATAAAATTCAAATCTAAAACAAATATAAAATTACATTTGACTTATTTTTGTCACGCAAAACTGTCTCAGCCTCTGCCACAACATCCAGGTTTGTTCTGAAGAAATGTCATCTTAATAATCAAAGACTGTCAAACACTGTTCTGCCTTAAATTTAGAGCTGCTGCTTCATGTTTATTCAGATTTACTTCTTGCCGTGATCACTGATTTATAACGTCCACATGTGGATGAGTCTCTCACCACTAGGTTTCCTTTCTTGGCGGCGAGTTTGAAAGGCGTGAGGCCTCTGTAATTGGGCACCATGTCCAGCGGCACTGTCGGGTCCAGCTCGGCATCCAGCCCCTGCAGCAGGTCCAGAATCTGACACGCAATTATTTTGTTGGGCTGCAAAATCAAAATGTGCAGAATAGTGTTACCTGTTTAAGAAAGAGAGAGAAAGTGAGTGAGAGAGATCAGGTTAGACAAGGTAAATGGAGAAGTGCTTCACTCTCAAAAACGATGCATTAATAAAGAACTTTTTTTGCGCTAAAACATTGAAGTTTATGTCTTGAGTTTTGTGAAGTGAAAAACAAATCAAACAAAATGACAGACTGAATTAAAGTACAATAGAACTGTACTGTACTAGTAGAACATTTACTATTATTATTATTAGTAATACTATTATTATTATTATTATTATTATTGTTACGTTTATTGTCTTTTTTTTGTTATTTTCAGACAAAAATAACACACTACTTATTTTAACGTCTGTTCCGAGAGCATACACCGATCAGGCATAACATTATGACCACCTCCTTGTTTCTACTCTCATTGTCCATTTTATCAGCTCCACTTACTATATAGGTGCACTTTGTAGTTCTACAGTTACAGACTGTAGTCCATGTGTTTCTCTGATACTTTGTTACCCTGTTCTTCAGCGGTCAGGACCCCCATGGACCCCCACAGAGCAGGTACTGTTTGGGTGGTGGGTCATTCTCAGCACTGCAGTAACACTGACGTGGTGGTGGTGCTGTAGTGTGTGTTGTGCTGGTCTGAGTGGATCAGACAGCAGTGCTGCTGGAATTTTTAAACACTGTGTCCACTCACTGTCCACTCTATTAGACACTCCTACCTTGTCAGTCCACCTTGTAGATGTAAAGTCAGAGACGATAGCTCATCTGCTGCTGCACAGTTTGTGTTGGTCATCCTCTAGTCCTTCATCAGTGGTCACAGGACGCTGTTGGCTGGATATTTTTGGTTGGTGGACTATTCTCAGTCCAGCAGTGACACTGAGGTGTTTAAAAACTCCAGCAGCACATATGTCAATACTGCTTTCTAACAACAGCCCCACAGGCTCTGCAATTCTACAAGGCAGAAGTTGGCCTTTTATTTCCCAGCTCTTTTTTCTATCCGCCTTAAATAGAGCAGCAGTTACATTATTGTACATTCTTGCATTCAATGTAACACACTAACTGCTGCACCCTTTAAGCTGGAATGGCAACGTGCCGAGACCGCGGTGTCCTCTGATGCAGCTGAGAGAGTCAGGCAGCTCCTCAGGCCTCACAAGGAAGTGCAGCAAGTGGTCTGGTGTCATTTGAAAATGTGACCTGAGCAGCCCTGACTCAGCTATTCAGCTAGAGTTAGCAAGGTATGCACTGCTCATGCATCATATGATCTATTCTTATTTGTGGCGTACAGGTATAACATCATACTGTGGAAGAATTCCAGCCATTATAACAGCCACAACTAGAATGTAGTCTAACATTAACAGAGCACAGTGCTTTATCAGGTGTGGTGCTGTTAAAACAGAAGATCCTGTTCTTACCCAGTGAGTCCTGAGCTCGAACGTTTGCTCCAGCCTTTACCAATAAGTTAATGATCTCTTCATTTCCCTGACAGCAAGCAAAGGCCAGGATGTGCTCGCCTACAGATACATAATAACAAAGAACATGTATTTGCATAGTTAATTTACACAGTGACTTTTCATCAAATTCAAATCATAATAAAAAAATCATATTAATATTTTGCATGGGAAACATCCTAGTACCATCTATAATGTTAAGAAAACCATACAGGACATTTTCTGCTAATTAAAATATGTACTTTTTAATAATGGAAATAATTATAATGTATAATTATTTTATAATTATCTGCTATCATGTATGCGGACACCCATCCTATTTTTTAATTCTGGTGTTTCAGCCACACTGTTGACTGAATGGGCAGACATTTGCCACAGATACACTCCAAAATCTTATGGAAAGTCTGCTCGGAAGAGTGGAGGCTGTTATAGCTGCGAACAGTGAAGCCAACTTCATACTAATGCCTATGATTTTAGAATGGAATGTCCAACAAGCTCATACAGGTGTGACGTTCAGGTGTCCACATACTTTTGGCCACATAGAGTATTTCTAGAAGGCTAAACCACTGTAAAGAAGATCTAGACCAATTATAGAGCCTGAAAACAACAAAAACAGCTGCATAAACTGCACAGAAACAAGCAGCTGATCGCAGGTGACATTTTTTTACCTACAGCTGGAATTTTCTTCATAGTTTTTAAGCCTTTTTTAAATGTGGCACTGCTGTTTTTCTTGATCGACTTAACAAACCTCAGAAAAAATTAAACATCATAACACGTCTTTAAGCAATTTGCTGCTAATTTGTTTACAAATCACCCACCTTTATTTCTTAAAGATGTACAGTTTAAAAAAAATATATATATATATTTAAAAGTATTTTCATTACCGTAATAAACAAGTCCTCCTCTCCTCTTGCGGAAGTACATCCCTGTTGCTCTGGGTGAGGTCACATCAGCCCCTCTGTCGATCAGCTCTCGGACCAGATTAACATTCTGATTAATGACGGCAACGTGAAGAGCTGTTACACCTGCAAACACAGAAGACAACTTTCCTTACAACAGACTCCACATATACAAACTAATCAATATTACTGACCAGAAATTAAAAGGGTCTAAGTAGGGATGCAAACATGCATCAATGCCTGAATTTGAAAGTGTCAATTCAACTGTGTGTAATTTTAGAATTGACTATAACTGATTTCGGTAATATTTGAATAAATACGCTTTGATTTTGAAAAATACCATATTATGGTTATTTTTACACATAACAAAAGTTTATGTTGCACTGTAGTGTAAATAGTTCCTTCAGTCACAATAATTTCAAACTGTATCGAACTGTGGCGAAATCTAAAATGAAGTTTTGCACATTAAGATAACTTAGAATAAGATGGGAAACCTGTTGCCTTGTATGTCAGTGAATTAATTTCAGCTCAGTCCAAAAATGTATTTTTAACTTAAGTTAAACGTTGCTTCTAAAGTTCAAATGTTAACATTTCTAAAAAATATTTGCTAAAAATTTGCTATTTAGTTACATTTCTTTTTTGAAACCAGAATTAATGTGTAAAACATCAGTTTGTTCAAAAATAAGTCAACTCGAAAGACTAGTATAATCATTTACAGAGTAAAGAATTATAATCTAATAAAATCATAGCAAGTCCTAAGATGTACAGCCTTACAAACCATGCATACAAAGTAATCAGTTTAGTTTAAACCATATAAGGCTGACGTTAATATTTTAAACAATGCGCGATTTAACAATGGCAAATCTATGTGGATTATAATTTAGCTTGTGTCACAAACTACCTTTTCGTATCGTTACTCTGATTAAATAAAAAATCAATAAACATTTACCTTTGCGAACTGCGCTCTGAATGAGCTTGTGCACTCATTCTCTCAATCTCTACAGGCTGAAATAAATAAAATGATTTTATTGTTGCCAACATGGACGCGCAACTCCTCTGGCAGCAGGTGCTGGATAACAAGTGATGTATGTATACCTTCATACAGTTCACTGGTCATGGGCTCATTGATGAGCTCTGGCGCTCCCTCCATTAGTGCCACCGCCGCCTCCACATGGTCATGCATCACAGCCACGTGTAGAGCTGTCTCTCCGAGAGCGCCTAAAACATACAAATTCACATACGGATGCGTTTTCATTCTGCTTAAAACTACAGGATTTTTTTTTAATTTGCAGTGCTTTTAAATAAAAAATAACTCACTGGTTAACCTTTCTACTATTAGGTACTAACTATATGGTGGTTTACATTGTATTAAATACAGCTCAGGTCAGCTGGGCTTAGTGTTTTGTTAATATAACTACAAATATGAGAAGACCTTTGAATAAATGCTGCAATCAGAATGTGAGAGAAGGAAATAGGTGAATATAGAAACAACCTCATTTATAAAACACTCGTATGGACGGATGTGAAAAGTCATGGTTCTTCAAATGTTAATTTGATGTGAAATTGTGTATAAATCAAAGCAAGTTTGCAATATGATGTGCAAACATTTACAAATAATGAATGCACAAATGCTGAGATCTTAAGAATGACATAGAATAAAATTGACGATTGGACTGCTAATATAAAATAAGTACAAATATGAAAAACAGAGTTAAAGTTCCTTTAACGCAAAGTTATTTTGTAAAAATTCAATTGACCACAGACTTAAAAGGGGAAGTCCACCCATTTAAAAAAAAAAAAAATGGAAACAAAGATGCAAACAAAGTCATTCAGAGTGGTTTGATGTCAAACGCTCCATTCGAGAGTCAGAATTGTTCACAGGGGTGGTGATGGGAACCAGATGACTGAGGCATTTAATGCCTCTGAAAGCTCCCTCATGCAGAGTCAATACATGAAATGATTATAAACACGCTGCCTGATGCCTGAGACACATTAGTTTAGCGATACACTGCTGGCCTAAAACATATATTTTTAAAATTCACGGTGGAGGAATACATGCATTGTGGGGCAAAACAGTCCCCAAATATTTTTTTTTTTCAGATTTATCACTATTTCACCATCATCAATTTTACATATATAAACCCAAAAGACTCGTGTAGGTTCACTGGTGGTTTTGGATAGTAAATAAAATGTCTATATTTGTGTTGTAGTCATGGCGACCCCTGGTTCCTATCACCACCACTGTAAAGACATCTGAGTTTCTACAATCAACCATTTCACACCAAACCACTCTGAATGATGTGTTTACATTTCAATCCCTGAATTATGCAGACATTTTGCAAAGTTGATGGAGTTCCCCTTTAACTGCCTACATCCTCAGGTGTCATTTGAGCCGCAGTACAGTGAACAGCAGCAGCTGAAGGAAACATCTCACCTCGCTCAAAGATATTGGTGGTAGCGCAGTCCAGCAGCTTCTTTATGCAGCCCACGTTATTCGTCTTAGTTGCATAGAACAGCGGGATGTCATTTACTCTAATGGAGAGAGAGAGAGAGATGTTCAGCTGTGATTTAAATAATGAGCAGTTGCAAAAGCAAAGATACAAGGAAGTACATATTTATTAACCCAGGGTGTGAATTACAATCAATTATAGTAATATTAAGTAAGATATCCACTGCTTGTTTCCCAAAATAAAATTTAATGGTTATTTTTAAATGTAAGCACAAAACTGTCTATATTCTGCTACTGTGTCAAGTATTATGATATATTTTTGCCATATCGCCCACCTCTAGCTTATATATATATAAATATATATATATATATATATATATAAATCGCTGTTGTCAAAAGAAAACCTTAATCTCCAAAATGGTAACTTTACAGGTGAAGGAAAAAACCTACTTTACTTTTAATGTAAGTCAATGGAACCACAATTTTTTCCAAGTCATTTCGGGCCGTTTCTTTTGGTCCATTCATCATGAAATTTACACACAATGTAAAGGGCAACAGGTGTTTTCAAACATGTCAAAAACTGAACTACTATTTTGGAAATAAGACACTCTTTTTACTTTCCACTGTATTCATGTTTATTTGCATTTATTCGTATACTATATGGTGACATCTCAAGCAAAAACACATTTCCTGCCAAAATAAAAGTTTGCTAAATATGCAAAGGTGCTTTTGTGTTAAGATTTTAACAGTACTCAGTATTTTCAACGTACTCAGTAAAATAACAATTTTAACTGTTATTTGTTGGTGCAATGCGTCAGTACGTACAGTATTATTTTGATAATATAATTCTAACAACGTTTCAGCAACTTTGGGAAAAGTACCTTTTGGCCTGAAGCAGAAACGTCTCATCCAACATTTCATTCCAGCCCTTCCTGTTTTGGAGGCGGAACCGAATCTGGCTGTACCAATGGTTGATCTCGGCCGGGGCAGACCGCGAAAGAGGCGGAGCCATGTCGACAGGGGGCTGTTCTGACTGAAATGACTGACAGGACATAAAAATAAAAAAAAAATTACAAACACATCAGAAGAATTTGTTATAAAGAAATAACTTAGTATGTTACGCTGTAATGTGTAATTAATTCCACATGTTCAAAACATTTTATATCAACCGTTAGAGTTACTGATAAAGGTAAGCAAAGTTAATATATTTGAATGTACATATTTTAAGTTCATTTAAAGACGAATTGACACTAATTTTTAAGTAAAAGCTGACTTAGTTTGCTTAAACGGTTGCTTAATACCACCTTTAATACAACAGAAATGAGCTACAAACAAACCTTTTCTTTATATATGTGAATAAAAGTTAAGAAATCAATATCAGAAAGACAGAATCCACAAAAAAGTCATGCTAAAAATGCCAAATCATATACAAATAAAGCATTAAACCAAAACATTTGACACTCCTGCCCTTTCATCATGATCGTAAAAGCCTTACCTTATGCGAAGTTTTAGGTTCCACCAAATAAACAACTTTAAAACGAAGAAGAACAGCTCTGTCTCACGGTGCCTATGACAATACACAATAGGCTCTACTGAGTGATGTGTCAGCTGTATTTATACGGTGACTGTGCTTGAGGCACGGAGGGAGGGGAACGGGACAGAGGAGGAGAGAAACAAGGAGATGAGAAGAAAAAGATGAGGACAGGTGACAGAGTAAAGATGGTACGGAGATCATAATAGGGTTTTTACACTACTATAAGCTAATGCAGAGGGGGGCGGAGGAGATGTGGGGGTTTCTAAAACAGGCCGTGCTAGAATTCACCACCAAACCACTTTCTAAAATTATTTTATGAGTAAATTCCGGTTTAGTTAGTGCCTCTTTCTGAGGACCAGGCTAACTGCTACCTGCACTCGTGCGTTTTTTGATGGATATGTGCTTTTTCAAACAATATTTCACATCTACTTGAGTAGATTAGAGAGGAAAATAACCTTTTTTATCTGTATTGGCAGATAATCACTTTAAAAAATCGGCATTGGAGAGATGGTCAGATATTTTATTTCAAACTGGCATTTATTGTATTTATTGACATAATTAAAATGTTATGTACTGCTAATGCAAGTAGATTTAGCCCCAATTTCAAGATTTTATACAGCAAACGTTAAAGTATCAGACATGAACATCAAAAATATTGGGTACTGGTATCGACCCACTAATCAAATATCAGTGCATCCCCTCACTCTTGGCAAAAATGGTTCTATACAGCACCCAAAAAAGGTTCGCTGACCCTTCTTTGGGTGCCGTATAGAACCATTTTTTATAAGGTTCTTTAAACAACCATATACAACGGTGATGAACCATTTAAACATGCATTCCAATGGTTCTACATTCTACAACCACTCTCTTTTCTAAAGAACCCTTGAAGAAACCACTTTTTTAAGGGTGTAACTTACTTTTTACTCAGTTCCATTTCGGTCATTCAGGTTTTGTTCCTACTTCATTTAGTTTTTCGGGTTTATTTCATTATAGGACCTCCTTACTTTTGATGTTTATCAGGAATTTTAGACCAAAAGTGAGAGCCTCAATGGGTAGAAAGCTAACTTCAGCTCTTCTGCTGTCAGATCCACACCAGTACGCACTTACAAAACAAGGGTTCTTTAGTATGGTTCGATTTAGAACTACATAGAACCATTTCATGCTTAAATGATACTTTGCATGGTAAAAAAAAATCCTTCAGATTGATGGAGAAAGTGTATGGTTTTATATAGAACCTGGAATGTTACACAGAAAATGGTTCTATAGAGGACCAAAAAGGGTTCTTGTATTGGGACAGTGTAACAGTGTAAGAACCCATTCTGGTCCTGTATAGAACCATTTTCAAAAAGGTTCTGAATAGAACCACATACAACACACTCTCCATCAATCTGAAGAACTATTTAAGCATGAAATGGTTCTTTATAAAAGTCGTGGTTCTAAATAGAACCCCTGCCTTTACTAAAGAACCTCTGAAGAACCATCTTTTTAAAGTGTGTAGTATTAAGCTGTTATTTCGAAAGACACTTTCGTTTTTTTGCCATTTCGTCACTTGTGGTTGGAGTCTAGGCCCCTCTAACTTCACCCACCTCTGAATTTACCTCAGCTGGCTCCATGTTGGTCGCCTCCTGATTAGCCAGCGGTCAAGAAGATGCTAAAAAAGCACCACAGTCAACACTTTACAGCGGTATCTCTGATTAAATGCCGGGAAAACCTGCCTAAAAGTCGCTGACGGCTGCCACCATAATATCACTGACTCACATTTGCCTTTAGGAGCTGCTGTGTTTGGCTAATTCTGTGTGGAAGCTTCTAGAAAACGTTAGCAGGTCAGTGGGTTGCAGTGACTCAGGCCCAGGCGATGCGACGGTTTTACCTCAAAAAAGGCAAACACAGAACCGCTTAAACCACCCAGAAAACCCCTAAAACATTCACCTACATTTCTAAATAACCCACGACTAAATTACCACACGAAAACGCGACCTTTCCCCTCACGAAAACAAGTAAACGACGAAAATGTAAGCTAGCTAGGTTAGCAGGCTGAAGTACGTGACAGTTCTGACGGTTTCATCCCGAGTCTTCCCTTCATTCCGAATTCCGACTGCAATTAACTCGCCACACAGGTTTAACCGTGGGATACCTGACAAAGGCTGGGCCATTAGGCTGGGCCATGAATTTTCAGTGGGCTAATCATTGTTTGGCCTAGCTGTGCTGTTGCTTTGCACTTGTTTACAGCTGAACGTGTTCATTAGGCCGCTGAAAGTGTGCCTTCAGATCCCACTCAGAGAGGCGTCGTTTGAATGGCACCAAACCCGGTATTAGCATCTAATTGAGCAAATGAGGGGGAAGAAACAATAGATCTCATCTCATTCTCTGTCACTGCTCCCGTTTATGAGGAGCAAACGTTGGATTTTCCCCCCATTTTGATCAAAATGTTGTCTCACGGATGGTTTTATTACTCTCCCCAGCTTTCCTGAAGAACATTTAAGTTGGAAAAGTGGAGGATCTCATCATACTCCTCTGCATCTAGTATGCTTATGTCCAGTGATTCATTAAGGAGGAATTCTCTCAACCTCCCCAAATTTCTCAATAATTCAATAGTTAGGATGTAAACAAAGTCATTCAGATTGGTTTGGTTTATCATGGAGAAACAGCCCAAATGGTTTATCATGGAGAAACGGCCCAACTCTGATTTTCTTTACAGTGGTGGTGATAGGAACCAGGAGTCGCCATGTCTACAACACAAGCATGCCCAGAGGAAAAAATGCCTTTCTTAAGACTGCCTCAAAGAAATAAAGCAGATCTCAATGTTGCATCAATGAAGGGTCACTGATTTCTGAATTCTTTCTCCAAAACCATGAAACCATGAATGAGAAAAGCATGAGTTCTCCTTCTACGCTGACAGCCTGCTGGAAGAGTTCTGTGATATGGAATAGTCCTATATAAGAAAACAATCAGACCTTACACTTTTCTAATGGAAATATTACTCTGAAATTGTGGAGAAACGGACCGACTCTGATATTCTGTACAGTGGTGGAACCAGGAGTCGCTGTGTCTACAACACAGGCTTTTTGTTTACTATCCAACACTACCAGTGAACCTACATGCGTCTTGGCTTTTTTGTGTAACGTTGATGATGATTGACGTTGATGAAGTGGCAAATCTGAAAAAAAATTGTTCACACAATGCCCTGCATGTACCCCTCCACTAAGAACAGACTTTAAAAATAAGTTTTAAGGCAGTAAAACTATCATCTCAGACATCAGGCGGGACATTCATAACATTTCATGTAGTAACTTTCTGTGGGGGAGCTTTCAGAGGTGGACGTCTGGTTCCTATCACCACCACTGTGAACAATCCTGACTCGGCAAGTTTCTCTAGACCAGAGCGTTTCACACCAAACCACTCTGAATGACTCTGTTTACATCTCAACCATTTAATTATGCATACATTATGCATAATGGTTAACCCCTTAAAATCCCAGGCTTATTGCATACTAAGGCTTATTATTCAGTAACTACAGGAACTTCAACGCAAACTGGCTGAGCAAGTCTTATATAAGTGTGTAATAAAACTTTGAGCCCTGGCCATTGAAGGGGTTAATAGATATTGTCTATTTAAAATCCAGTTTAGTCCTGACCTACAAAATCCTTGTGCAGTTTACACATACCTTTTATATACCCATCTATTAAGCGACTCTGATTCCACCCCGTTGCAGTAAGGCTCAATATAATTAATGATATAATTCATCAACACTGGAGAAGAAACACAAACAGTGCAGAGGCCAGTGCTGTTTTCAGTGGGCTAATAGAGATGTTGAGGTGCGTTTTAAAGCCATCAATAGGGGTTTTGTTGAGGGATAACAAGAAAGAAAACAAGTCTTACGCCTAATTATATGTTTAGGCCCTTAAGAAAAGTTTTGCTGCTATTTGAGGAAAGGGATTTGGACTCTCGGGGCGCAAGGTAATGATTACAACAGCGGCCTACATCATGTACCTTTTTTTAAATATTTACATGGGTAAAAAGGGTCAGTTTCCTTCAGATCTTTTTTAGATTAAACAAATTGTTGGCGTCAGTTGTTAGGAGAGAAGGGCGGGCCGGAGTGGAGAGGGTGGACGGTCAGCTGGGTTATAGCTGGGGTCAAATAATGAGTAATAGCGGTCAGGCAACAGCTTTTTAAAGGATGAGTGAACGTCTTAGAAAGGCCCAGTGTGACGCTATCTTTAGCAAAGGGGTGGAAGCCAGATTGACTAGGTGTTTACTAAGGCCTAATGACAATTTCAGGGCTGTCTCTGTAATGTTTTGTTTTGTGCTACAAAGCTGCATGTCCCCTGTATCATTATGGGTCTTTGGGGAAGGACAGCCTTTTCACCGTGTTTTCATAATCATGCTGCTCTAGTACTCTGAGCTTGTTTTGAGGTGGAGTTTAATAGGGGCATTCATTGTGCTTACTCAGAAATGAAAGGGGAATTCCACCAAATTTTCAAACATTCTACATAATTACATCATTAGGATGTTAGCAGAGTCATTCAGAGCGGTTCGCAGTGTCATTCACAGTGGTGGTGATAGGAACCAGACGTCCACCTTTGTTTGATGAAAGATTTGAGACAAGATTTTGGCCAATATATGTATTTTTAAAAAGAGGTTTATGGTGGAGGAATACACGTAGGGCATTGTGAGGCAAAATAGTCCCCAAAGGAATCTTATTTTTTCAGATTTACCACTTTTTCATCATTTCATCTATATCAACATTGCACATAAAAGCTCAGAAAACACATGTAGGTTCACTGGTGGTAAATAAAATGGCTATATTTGTGTTGTTGACATGGTGACCCCTGGTTCCTATCACCACCACTGTAAAGACATCTGAGTCTGTAGGTTTCTGTAACAAATTATACATCAAGCCACTCACTGTAAATGTTGATGTGAGTCATATAAATATCATAAACTGGATTTAAAATCTGCACGCTGTGCCCAAACATGCTCATATTAAACTAAATATCCGTTTGGGCTTCATATGGTGCCAAATGGAGGACGTGCGATTCCAGTGGTGGAC